CATGAGTATCAAATTTTCCTTCCGAGGCATCTTCGTCATCCACTTGATAGCAAGTTGTCGTATGCACTTCCTCCATGGGTCCTCTTACGAAGAACACTTTGGGAAAGTACTCTCCTAGCATAATCGGAATCCGTGGCTCTTGGACTAGTGGTCCACTTTCTTGGTTAGAGTCTCTCCTCACCATCATTTTGGTTTTGTTCTTAGGGCATCGGCGCGAACTTCTCTTTCGCCGCTCCTTTGATTGAGCATTTTGGCGTTGAGGAATGCGCTTCGTACGAGATCTCCTCCGAGTAACGAGCGTCCATCCTTCATTGTCATCGAAAGATGAGTTACCAACTAAGCCATCACCACCCTGATTGGTCGCCCACCACTTCTTTCGCACACATATCAGTCACCTGGCGTATGCCCCTTATTGATTGAAACTCCGGTCTTGGCGATAATGCGGGCAGCGGCACGGGATCAAAGGATCCAAACACAATTGTGGCAACATTCGCGTCTGCGATTTCGTCAACGTCTAACTCAATCCTTCTTTGCCTGGCCAAGTTCATAATTAGCTCCTTCAACACGAAGCACTTCTCTACTGGGTGGCTGACAATTCTGTGGTACTTGCAAAACTTAGGGTCGTTAACTCGGTTCATCTCTTCAGGTCGCTTACATTCTGGCAATTCGATCACCCTTTTTTCGAGCAAGTCCTCCAACATACCTGCGACATCGGAGTCAGGGAAAGGGTACGTCTTTTCCTCCAGCTCCTTCAAGGTTCGTCGACGTCTATCCACCTCTCGGGATGGCTCCATCCTTTTGACTTCTTTCTTCTTATCTCGGGTGGAGATTTTGACGGGGACAGTGTTGATTGTCATTGCTTCCTTGGTAGGCTTCTTGATAGACTTATCTGCCTTTTGTCCAAAGACTTTCTCCTTTTTATGCTCTACGATAGGCTCATTCTTTCCTCCATGGCTGGCGATACTTAACTCCATATCATGGGCACGAGTGGCTAGCTCCTCAAACGTGCGGGGTTTGATCCCTTGTAGAATGTATAGTAACCCCCAATGCATCCCTTGAATGCACATCTCAACTGCTGATATCTCCAAAAGCCTATCCTTGCAATCCAGGCTTAACGAGCGCCATCGATTTATGTAATCAACGACAGGCTCATCTTTCCATTGCTTGGTACTTGTGAGTTCCATCATACTCACGGTGCGACGAGTGCTATAGAATCTGTTCAGGAATTCTCGCTCCATTTGATCCCAACTGTCGATGGACTCGGACTCTAAGTCTATATACCAATCGAATGCATTTCCTTTTAAGGAACGAACGAATTGTTTCACCAAGTGGTCACCCTCCGTCCCAGCATTGTTGCACGTTTCGACGAAGTGTGCAACGTGTTGTTTTGGGTTGCCCTTTCCATCGAATTGTTGGAATTTGGGAGGTTGATATCCCGTTGGCATCCGCAGGTTGTCTATCCTCCTGGTGTATGGCTTGGAATACATGAGCGTGTCTCGGGAAGGAGCTCCATATTGAACCCTAATGGTGTTCGCAATCATGTCCTGAAGTTGTTGGACTGATAAAGAGCCCACCGAGGCGGCGTCACCTTTTCCGTGCAACTTCTCGCCCGACTCTGTTTCATGACCTAATCCTTTCTCGCTGGATTCAGCTTCATGATGTGGTCCTTTCTTGTGCACGTCTTGGCCAAGCTCCTTGTCATGATGCACCTCCCACTTGTTGATGAGCGAAGCAATCTGCGCATCTTTCTCCTCAACTATCTTCGTTAGCTTCGTGACCGCTTCGCTCCACTACAAAAAAAGTGTCTTTTTATGACGCAGATTTTAATGACGCATTGAAAATACACGTCATTAAATGTGATAAACTATGACGTGTTTTTAAAATGCGTCATTGAAATGAGTTTATGACGCCGTTATCACGACATTTGCTTGACGCGTCATTAAAATCATTTTCAATGACGCGGAATGTATGTCATTGATTTGAGTACGTTTAGACGACGCTTATCATACGTCATTAACATTGTGAATTTAACGACGTCTTCTACACGTCATGAAGTACTTATACGACGACGCAGGACCTACGTCATAGATGTACCGTATACGACGACGCTGGACCTGCGTCATAGATTTTTCTTAAATTAACGACGTCTTCTACACGTCATGAAATACTTATACAACGACGTAGGACATGCGTCATAGGTATATAAAAAATTTAACGACGTCTTCAACATGTCATGAAATATTTGTACAACGACGTATAATGTGCGTCATAGATGTTTTCTTATAGCGCCTTTTTTTTACAAAAATTCTAATTTCGCGCTTTATTCCCTCTGGAACCCTCTCGCACTCTCACCCTAACAAAAATTTCACGCTTGAATCTCAGCTCCATTCAGACAAAAAAAATAAAATCTCAGCCCCAAATCGAAACAACACTCCCTTCCTCCTCCAGACCCAAACCCTTAATCTCTCTCTCTCTCTCTCTCTCTCTCTCTCTTCCTCCTTCGATGAAAGGTCTGACCTAAGAGCGTTGTAGGTAGGTTCTGTGTCTGCAAGTTCTTTTGCTCCCTCCTTCTCTCCCCGTCTCTGTTTCCTTCTCTTCATTTTGTGTTGGTCGAATCCATCTCTCAGTTTTTATTATGAATCTGAATTTTTTTCCTTTTTGATTCTTTAAATTCCTCTTCCTCTGTAGCTAAGGATCAACGCCACCACCCCATGACCACTGACTGCTCCACGTTTTGGTAAGAATACTTTATTTTTTATTTGAGTTTTATTTTCTTTTGGTGTTTGGGGTTAAATCTATCTGGATTTTCTGGGTTATATTGATTATATGAGTTTTGTGGATTTTCTCGGTTGTATAGGTTATATTTAATTTTTGGGTCACAACATAGTTGATCTTTTTAATTTGACAGTAATATGGTTTTACAGATTTGCATAGGTCTTTTTAATTTGATAGTAGGAGGAGGTACTTCAATCATCAGAATTTATGTCTGACCTTCTAGCCAATTGTTTTCGCACATATAATATTGATAACTTCATATATAAGTATAGGTCTTTGTGTGTGCTCTCATGACTCTTAGGGAAGCTTGGAATTCTGATTTCGGTAACTTTTCATTCTTGAAACTATGAGATGTATCCTTTTAGTTTTGTATTTGAAGTGGTCCATTGATGTCAAGAGTTTTTATCAAATCATATATTCCACATGATCAGTTTCACAAGCACTGGATGGTTCTTATTGTAGATCTCTTCAATGACTCTAAAAGGTAAGAAAGACTATAATCTATGTTCCCAGCAGCTGTTAGAAGTCCTTGTACTGATATTGCTTGTGTTTTGCAGTTATGGTTTGCTTCACTTCATTGACAGAGGAAGAGAAGGAAAAAGCAGTGCAGCTTGACTCATGGAACTAGTTCATTGAAATGGTTAGTTTCTCTCTTGTAATTGTAAAATGTATGTCCATGACTATCTTTGTTGCAGCTTGCATATCATTATTGTTTGGTTAATGCAGTGCATGTGGTGTTAATAAATTATTCCATCAAGAATGCCTAGTTATGTATTGAAATAGTTATGTAATAAATGATTATGCTCTGTTTGGTTACAGAGAGAAGTCTTTTTTAGACAAATGGTGACTTGTAGATTCTCTAATTTGTGGTACCCAGCTAGCTACATTCTGGACGAAGACATCCCTTGTGCACATAAACTCTATTTGGTCTATGAGAAAGTCTGGCCTTCGAGTTAAGGAAGGTGAGTTAGTTAAGGAAGGTGAGTTAAGCGTGGCATTTAACTATAGAAGTTCTTAAAATGTTGAATGAATCTGCCTGATATTGTTTCAGAGATGGGCTTTGTGGTTTGATTTGTTAGTCCTCTCTCTCTCTCTCTCTCTCTCTCTCTCTCTCTCTCTATTACTCTCTCTCTCTCTCTCTCTTGATATTTTGATTGATGAAGAGGCTTCATGTGTTTCAAGCTGTTCATTCAACTAAATTCTTGTGAGTTTCTCATTTTTTTCATTTTCATTCTTTAAAATATCTCTCCATGATCACAGCTAATCTCCAATTGATGGTTTTATTTTCAAGTAGTTCGTAACAAGTCATTTGGTTATCTCCATTTTTTTCCTTCCTTTTTTCCCCTAATGTTGTAGGTCTGCAATATAAATTTAGAAGTCATAACAAGTATTGTTGAAATAGTTTCTTGGAAGACAAATCACAATTTAATTGGTGGTTTATAAAGATTAAAACTTGATGGGATTCATAGCTTTTCAAGCCAATCTACTAGCTTATTCGTACAAAAATAACAGTTTGATTTCGCACTTCATATTAAACACAACCAGAGATGCATTTCCCTGTTTATAGAAAATTCAGAGCACATACTTGCTCTAGTAATTTCTAGACCTTTGGTTTCATTTTCTGATCTTGTGTTTTAATGCAGGTGTGGTTGTGATTATTCTAGTACCATTTACACCCACTTTTGGACATGAAGCATCACATCCTCTCAAACTATCAAGGAGATCATCTTTTTGGATGTTTACTTTGTTTTGGACAGTGCAAAGTATCAAATCTTCTCAAACTTGATAGGATTGACTTTGTGGGATTAGTTAAAGACAATTTTAATGTACTAGAATCATTTTGAATAATAGAAATATAATTTAGAGTACTTTGCCTGTGTCTTCATTTTTGCTTTTATATATTAATTTCTTTTTGCATAATTAAAATGATGGGATATATATATGAATTTTTATTAAAAAAAAATTAAACAATTTCAACGACGTCTAAATTGTGTCATGAAAAATATTTCAATGACGTCTCATCAGCGTCGTTAAGTTCAATGATGCGAAGTCCGCGTCATTGAAACCCCATTCCATGACGCAGAAAAGATGTCATGTTTTGAAAAAGTTTCCACGACATGCTATCTACGTCATTGAAACACCATTCCATGACGCGAAACAGACGCCATGTTTTGAAAAAGTTTCCACGACACGCTATCCGGGTCATTGAAATCGCATTCCATGACGCAAAACAGACGTCATGTTTTGAAAAAGTTACCACGATACACTATCTGCGTCATTGAAACCCCATTCCATGACGCGGAATAGACGTCGTGTTTTGAAAAAGTTTCCATGACCCCCCCTTTCAACGACGTGGGTTACGACCCCTAATCCGCGTCATTAAATGCATTCCATGACGCAAATCAGACGTCATAGAAGGGTTCTTGTGTTGTAGTGCTCATATGGGCCAGCTGTTCTTCAATAGACATCGCTCCTGTCACCATGACCTGCATAGCCATAGAATAAGACTCACCTATGGACGCCGAGTGATTCATGGCAGTCTTCTCCGGTTGGTCGTCGGATGGGGATCCATGGTAAGAGCCTGTACTAGAGTCAGCGTCTGAAACAAGCGAGAGTGAACGTTCTCTTGAATTCTTCAAGCCTGGAAAACTCCTTTCTTCGTTTCGAGAGTTTCTCTCCTCCGCTCGGAGGATATTCTTCTTTGCCCCCAAGGAAGCCAAATTGATAACCGGTTCACGCCTTCGGTTCACGTCTTTCGCCTTGGAGTGAGTCGGTATGGCAGTGGCCGGTTGAGCTGCGGATACCGCCTTGGCCTTGCTCCGGGTGACGACCCCAGCAGAGTCTCCGCTTGAGAAAGAGGCGCTCACGCTTTTGCCTCTCGTCGTGGGAATGGTTTGAATCTTCTTGGAAGCCATTGTTTTCAGTCTGTTGATTGATTTTGGAACTGGAGAAAGAGATGAGAGGCAGAGAGAGTCCCACTGGGCGTGCCAAATTTGTAAACACGAATTTCCTGCGACAAATGAGACAAGAACACGTGTACAAAATAATATTTGTATTAATGAAATTTAGGGTTACAATCTCTGTATTGAATCCTCTGATTCGATCTCCAAAGTGTTTAAAGAAAAGTTGTGTTTGATACAAGGGTCGTAGAGACTTGATCTTGATCAAACGGGTAGCACAAGGCTTGTTTGAGTGTTTGGATTTTTCTAGAGTGGAGGAACCGGCACGTATTTGTTGTGCTTGATGGCTCTTCCAAAGTGAGGTGAAGAATGTAGAGAGTTTTCTGTCTCTTCTGAGTGCTTGGGTGTGTCTATGCCCTTCTTTTCTTTTCATCTTGAGGCCTCCTATTTATAGGCTCTTGTAGGATGCTTGACCTAAATAACTTTCCCTATTTAAAACCTTGTTTTATGGGATATTGATTTGATTTAAATCAATTCCCATAATCTGGCAATTTAACCTTCAATTGATTGACCTGATTAATACTTGATTTAAATCAAAGTCAATCACATAAGATTCCTTCCCTTAATTTTGTCTTCATCTTGAACCGTTTGATGCAGTCCGTCGGATGTCGCCACATGTCTCTTTTTGACAACTAATTCGATTTTGATGAGTCACACGCCACATGGGCGAATTATGGGGCCCACAATTTAATCCACCAAACCCTAATTATTTTCTTGCTTAGGGGAATTTAATTCACCAAAATTTCATTGTCTACGGTTGCAATAAGATTTCTTTGACCAACCCCATATATGAGGCTATATTCTTTTTCCTGGCGACACTCACTTGAATATTGAAATATGTTCCTTCTCATTGAATTGGGCCGCCACAATATCTCCGGATCTACTTTACATAAACGAATAACGAACTCAATAATCCCACTTCGTACAGCTCGGAATATTGCTGCATAGACAAGGCCATCTTCCATTTCTTGAATGTCTAGATCTTTTAACACTTCACACATGTAATCCAAAATATCTAGGGATCGAGCATGGATCAATTTCATTTCACATATGCGGTTGATTCCTAGGTTGATGTTGGAAAAAATGTTACAACCAGTTTTTGTAGAAATAAAATACGTTGATAGAGTTTAAATAAGTGGATGAGAAAACCAATGTGCAAGGACACCAACAAATAAAGATGGAAAAGAATGTTTGCATATATACCTAAAAGCTTGCGGAGGCTTGAAGAAGGCCCTTGCGTGAAACCGAAGACTGCAATGCAAATTCAAAAGATAAATATGCCTTGTTCATACAAAGTATGAATGTGCTTTGCTATATGATTCCCAGCTTCTTATTAAGATTTTAGTTCTTGTATATGAGCGTACTAGAACCAATTTCTTTTTGTGGCAAACTATGTCATGATCAACTTCTTATCATGACATAGTTTGAATAAAATGAGGAGAATATAGCAAACCTGAGAAACTGATATTTTGGTTGCCCAGTTTTTCTTCTAGATTTTCAACATTTACGTGAACATCATGGATGGCAGGAGGATGTTGTACGTGTATACCTATAAAGAAAAGAGAACAAAGCTCAGTCAATATAATAAATAAATATATTATTTTTGGACATGTAAGATCAATTTCAATAAGGACCATTATGGTAGGGCCCGCCGTGTAAGAGGATGTTGTATGTGTATTATCTTTTGTGATAACAGATTTTAAACAAATATTTGGACCATTATGGTAGGGCCCGCCGTGTAATGTGATCGAATAATTGAAATCTTTATTTCGAGTAAAATTTAATTTCCTCTTTGAATCTTGACCGTAAATCCTGGCTTTAGATCCCAAAATTTTAATTCTCTTTGAATCAAGGACAAAAGCATATGACGTTTAAATGTTAATAGTAACAGGGGAGGAAGACTAAAACTTGGGATATAATTCAATATTGAAAAGAAAAATACCACTTAACAAAATGCTAACTAATACTTTTTGAATTTGATTTTGATGGTTAAAGATACGAACACCTGAAAACTCCCACAAAACATATATATACATAATATATGTAATAAGTTATTTTCTTATTCGGATGTCCGCACATTAATACTGTGCGGATGCCATTGAGGAAAGCAGGGAGAGATAATAGAAAATACATCGTATCTGCATGGTAATAATGTCCGGACGTCCACATAGGAGAATTTCTGTATATGTAATATCATACCCTTCATATCGAGGATGTACAATAATAGTGTAGATGTGCCGTGGTCGCCCGCTTGTATATGAGGGTCGACCAACCTATAGTAATTTAGGGACGTCCAATCCAGAATTTGCTCCTTCTCATACGAGTTGTTAATATATATTATATTTTCCTTAGTTTTTGAAACCATCATTAATAGGATTTATTCTTTTAAGCAATTTCAACCGTAAAAAATCACATCCAATGGTCAAAATAATTTTATATATAATCTGAATCATTTTAAGTGAAATTACATGTTTTGGAATTTATATTATTTTAAGTTCAAAACGTTCAGATAATTAAATAACTAATGTTTAAAACAAAAATAATGTCAAGGAAAATTAACGACAAAAAAAAAAAGGAGGTTAGCCATTATTAAACAATTTAAGTTGCAAACTCAAATTCTGAGTCTGTAAGGTTAGAGGAAAAAATTGTTTGTGTTCAGAAAATACATGAATAGTTGTATTTTGGAGTGTAAAAATTTAGGTTTAGCCAATTTATATTGTTGGAGATGGTCTGAACATCCAAATAACTTAACCCTTGGATATTATATAATTCAAACCAGATTGTATTTCAATAATCTAAACCGTAACTTCTAGATATTCCTTCACAAATCATGTCAGCAAAAAATCAATTAAATCTAAATCCATTTGATTAGTCAACGAATGGTTATGATTTTAGTGTTTTCTTTAAGCATTTCGTGTTTGTCTATTTTGTTGGTCTCAACTAGATGCCTTAACTGTTTCCGATTTGTCGAAATTTTTTGCGAAGGATGATTTATTATTGAAAAGTAGAATGTTCGGAAGATATATATGCTTCCAAGATTGCTGCTTATATTCCTTTATATTTTCTATTTTTTTCGTAGGTGATGAGCTTCAGACTTAATTGCAGATGTGGTACCCAAAATATATGACAGGACCCACCCCGAATTCCTCGAAACTCGAGACGAATCCTGTGAAAATTTAGACATCACACCGATGCCGGGCCCACTAACTAAAAACTCAGCCTCTTTTCCAAATTAAGGGAAAAGAGCACGAGACTTCCTACCGATATTTCGGCAGGGTCTCCCCTATAAATTGAACATTTCCCAAATTTCAATCTGCACAAAATTCACATTTTAATATACCAACAGGCAGCACGCACAATTTAATCTCATGCAATTCATATAATCGGCCTCCGGCCTTCAGATAATTCGAAACAACACCAACAATATTCTTAAGTCGAACAATACATAAACCAAACAATTAATGGTCTCAAACAACTTTATAAATACCACGGAAATCATTAAACCGGATTCAAACCCAACAATCACATCGAAAATCACGTGCGCAGAATCGATCAAACCTTTTAAACACAATCATATCTCGCGGCTGCGCCTGATGAGACCCCAGGCTGCCTACGTACCCTTGGACAAGGGATCAAGCCACACGTAGTTCTCATCTCAACGGTCACAACTCCGAAAATAAACGATCATTCACAACATAACCAACTATACATTTCAGATCCATCACAATTTCAAATTCGACAAAAACACAATGAACACATTCTCAAACTCTTCCTTTGTATCAGTTCAAATTCGTAACCATACCCTATTCAAGGCGTATGTACATTAAACACATTATCCAATTATTCCCCTTTTAACAGTTCAATCCCGCAACCATACCCTATCCAAGGCGTATGGCGCCAAACAACACTGCCCAAATCCAGGGCTTATACGTTCATACATGTGCAGGCTCACAAATCTCAAACCAGAATCAAAACCACATATACATATATGTAATATGTATAACAAGAAAAGAATAATTATATATATATATATACATAAATACACTCACCTCTCACCATCATCATGTACCAGGGGAAAATAATCCAATCGGGGATTGTTGACTAGCTCACACTTATCCGGCCCTCAAAAGTCCATGTGGCTAGGGACGAGCCGTCCAACTGGGGGACTAAACTCAACCAGCCCGTACGGACGAAGAATCAAGACCCGTACGTCTGAAACAGTCATACGCGCGCAGACTACCCAATCAAGGGTCTACGGTCAACATCCCGTCAAGGATGCCCCGGCTACTTACATTTCCAAACCATATCCACAATTTTTCCGGCATCCCACAATTCCAGGATCCATGACCAATAAAGCCCACACGCCCGAAACCCGGCACGTGTGTGAATAGTATGTCCAAAACACATCCATATATCCATTCCCATGAATCCCAGTGTCCATATCCACTGTTTCCAAATATCATCATCCAAGGGGAAGGTACGTATGATGGTGGAGTTCATAATCCTTATATAAAATATTATAAAGTAATATTCCATTTCTTAATTCAATTTTTCCCACAATACCTATTTATAGTAGACAAATAAACTCTCAAGCATAAAACCCATAACCGGGGAAGTACCTAAGATAGTGCTTTCTCAAATATTATATATATAAACTCAAGACACTCGAATATATCAAATCCACAAATATATCACAGATACTTTACAGAAATTAAACATTCAACTATTAAATATAAAAAGAATTTAAATATATCATTAATTTCAACAACATGAGATTATATCACAAAACCATAAAAACAATCTCATAAATCCACAAAATCAACATAAACCAAATGACGGTCAAGACTCGTCCAAAAGGGGTCGTTCTAGTACTCTTCGAAGAGTGGAACTACCTTGGGAGACTCAGGGTCAACCGAGGGTCAAACTGCCCAAACTTGG